TCCATTAACAATATGCTTGCTCTGTTCTTGTTTGTCTATGCAGGTATGAAGAAATTAATCGGAAACATCGGCCGAAAGAATGGCATGAAGACTACTCTTAGAAAAAACAACACTTAGGATAGAAATGTATATATTGTTATTTTCCTTTTCATAAATTGTAATAAAATATTAAGGAATAAAATTCAATTATATTTCAATCCAATTTATTTAAATCTTTTAAGCAATTCAAACTTGTCGCAACCGAATGACCCAAAAGAACATATCCGATTAAATCCCTCTTATCAAGTACCTCCGAGTAAATTCAACTAAATCACAGATAACTCAATTAACTTGAACCAACAGATTAATCTTCACCAAACAAATTTGTAGAGGAACAGTAAATACGACTTTGAGTGAGCATAAAAATCCTGTTAATGGTGAAACGGAAACCACACTCTATACCAGGAAAAGAATTCCAATTAATTTCCGAGGACTGAACACAAATTTCCTGAGTTGAGGTGGCTAGAAATCATGAGTTGATCCTGCATAGTAACTTCCCACTCGAGTCGAAACAAAACTCCAACTGCTTCTTCTTTTGACAATTTAAATAGCAGGAAGCAGGAGAACAGAAAAAAAAACATGCGCCGTATCTCGAAAACTCTGATGCGGAAATTCACTGTACTTCTGTTTATCCTCAAAATAAAGAATTCGAAGACGGAGTTTTAATTATTCCAAAGAACCCGGGCGACAACTCATCCTCCCTAACTGTCAGTAAATACTGCGCCAATTACCGTTTTCCCCTTTTCATCGGTGAAGTACACCTAATGCCATTCCTGCACAATAACAGACTACGTAACCTGTTAGTATTTAGCAGATGCGAAAATGAGATGTCATGCGACCTGACTCGATTAATCTGAGGGTAAAATTTGGGGTATTACACACACTATATCTCTGTGATTATTGGCTCAAATGAGGAGATCTTGAGCTCTTTGGAAAGTAGACATGTAGATGAACAACTTTCATGTTGAAAGTTCTTTAAGATTATTTTTGGAAGATGGTGAAATCTTGACTTGAAAACTTGTCCACAATGTTTCCCTAAGGCTTTGCTAAGTTGACAACTTTGTGACCTCAACTTTTAGACACCATAACTTGAGTTCTAGACATGTTATTGAGATGTTTTTGTGCCAAAAGAAATCTAAGAAGATGATCTACAACTTTCATGTTGATGGAAAAGTCAAATTTGACTTGGAAACCTTTGGATGAGGGTCTTGAAAATCCTTCCAAAATGCTGAATTTTATACTTAGAAAATTTCTAAGTGTTGGAATACCAAATCAAGGTTTTTCTCAACTTTGAACATTCATAACTCCAAATCCTTTCATCTTTTAAACTTGACTCCTTCTACAAACTTGTCGTTTACAATGTCCTCTTTACAAAGATAATTAGTTTGCTCCAATTGACTCAAGGATGAGTGAGATATGGCTCTTCCATGATGACTAGAATTCTTGATTTCCACACTTAGAAAATTTCACCAAAAACCCTAATTTCCAAAATTCTCCTGATTTTATGATTCCACTTGATTTTTCTTTATCAAACTTCATGAGATCATGGAATATGACATGAAATGTTCATGGTTGACCAAAAACTCAAGGGTTGCCTTTTATGGACCTCGATTGGCTTTTTAATTAAATGAATTTAAAACATTTTCCATCCACTTAGGAAACTCTTGAAATGACTTGTGATGAACCAAAAGATATCTTAGGAACTCTTAAAGTGTGTGAGGACTTGCTTGGTTAATCCCTCTTTCAAATCTAGATTAATTAGTGTTTTCACCTTCTTGTACAAAACCCTAATTTCACAAAGCAACAAAGCAACAAAGCTTGATAGTTTGGTTAGTTATGCTAGGATGATTGGCCTAAGATGCTTATGTAAATGATGATGACATTTAAGGGATAAAATTTGGGGTATGACAACAGTGCTACAAAATACCCCATTACCCATCAGGTCAATTGATACATTGACAATTAGGTTTTTTCAAACTAAATGGTTGCATTGACCCAATCTATAACCAAATAAAAACCCAGTTAAAAGAATATGTATAATTTAGTATTAAATTATGATCATCCTCATATCTCCTCCTCAACCATAGTGTAGTTTATCCAGTTTTCTACACAATCGGATATTGGGGTCCAATGTTTCCTATTAATATATCCAAAACACGTGTCCTTATTCTTTTCTCATTTTCCCATCTTTTGTAAGTTCCAATCAAACTAATCTCTCAAGAACTAGTGTGTTTAGTTTTTCTCGTGCACCTCGTCATTTGTTCTGAACTCACAATTGTGCAAGTTACCACCCATTCCTTGTTTTTTTCCCAGAAAAACAACGGCTCACTAATTTAATTTCATGCATCAATGGCAGAACGAACAAGCAACATATTAAATTGAGTGATCAAAGGATCTGTTCCATATGTTGTTATTGTGATGAATCAGTACAACTAGTACCAGGTTGTGGGGAAAGATATTCCACTGAAAATGATGAACATCCTAAGATCTATAGGATGAACCTTGAAAGGTTGCTTAGTTTAATGACATGTGTGAGAGAATTTAGATATTTAGGGGTGGTTTATAACCCTCATAATTTAACTAATATTAAAAAATATATATTTAATAAAAATCATACGTGTAAAAAAACACATTTGGCAATGCCAAGTAATCCTCCGTTAGTGGAAACTAACGGGGGGACCAATTTTAGAGACATAAAAGTTTACGAGCACCATTGTTTGAAGGAAAATTTCAGAGAGACTAAAATTGAATGTTGAGTTATTTATAGGGATGAAAAACATATTTAACCCTAAGTTTTTTTTAAAATATTTATTACAAAATTTAATTAATATGCATACGGTGTAAACATATTTTATACAATCTGGTAATCATAAATAAATGTAAGCAATATGTTGTGAGTGATGTGCGAGAGGCGTTAAACACATTATGAGGTGGAGTATCATCAACGGTTGCTTATGTTGGATTCATTGATTATATGAATGACACATGGTTGGCTCCTCACATGCGTATATTTGTTGGGGCATGGATCAATCGAGTGTTATATTTGGGAAATATCACGACTAATAGGTATGTAATTTTGGTATGAAACAATTATCCCACACCATTTAAGACATCTCTTATATAGACAAATATCGTCAAATGTCCGCTCTTGTTTATGAATCTCGAATATGCGCTATATGATTAGCAGGTGTCACTTCATCAAAAACTTTCCTCAAATCATCAACCTTAAATGTTCCTTGCTTATACGCCTTTCTCATAGCCTGAGGAAGTCCACAACCGATAGTTGATATTTGACTCTCTACTCTCTTACCAATGGTAAGAAAATACTCATGTATCTAACACCATCACAACAATAAAAATATGTACAGGTAAACATAGAGACATCTCCTAGAAATATGTACAATGTGACTAAAGAAGTTGTATCTCAACTATATCTACCACATGCTGATAGGTTCCTAAAACGTGGTATTTATTTTTGCCTCTACAAGAGTAAAATTCTTATTTGTAAAAATACTGCAGTCGACTAACATTACACAAATAAGCTCTCACAAAATAGTGAAACTCGATGTCGCTCAAATAAAGTATGCAATCACGCTAGTTTGTAATGTGAAACCTTACAAGCACTGACTTCTCGTGTAACCTCCTATATGGTCACATAACAAGAGCAACGACACCTTATTCATTAATACTCGATGGGATATCCCATAATCACCTATAAACGGAAGGTGAAGAAGGTAAGAAACATTGTTAAGAGTGATCGTCATTTCACCAAATGACATATGAAAGAACAATGTATTTGGATGCCATCTCTCAATAATAACATATAATAGATTGACATTGATTCTCTTTAAACTAGTCCTCTAGAGTGAAGATGGACCATATTCATTCAGTCATCCCTATATCATAGGTGGGAGATATTATAGAACCCGCTTTATAACTTACCCCTATGAGCTGCAATCTTAAGTTCTTTCTTTGGTCCTCGTTTCTGAATATAATTTAAAGTATAAATTATAAAATATAAATAATAATTAAAATTAAAGATTAGTCATATTAGTAAAAAAGAATTAATTACCTATTTGTACCATAATTAGTTAGCAATGTGATACTCATACCATATCAGAAGAGATGTGTCGTACGCTCCTCTTGAAAAATAATCTTACAATTGTGTCCCCCACTACACACTACTAGTAAAAAAAGTCAAATTTACAACAACAAAAAAATCAAATAATTCTAACTCAAGACCTATAGTGGCTAAAAAATTAACATTCCTAGAAATCTTACTCTAAAGACAATTGGTCAAGTAAAACTTACCACCTGATGCCTTTAGTATAAAACTTATGGCCTTTAATTTTTTTTTTTAGCAATGGACTAAATAATTTAGGTCTAAGTTTTTTGATGAACAACATTAAAAGATATTTAAAAAATGAATGGATCGAACAACTTATTAGCAAGACTTCCGATATTAATACTTGGATTATACAACTTAAATGCAAGATCTCCGAGAGATTGTGTGGAGCAAACAACTTGAATGCAAGACCTATGGAAGACTTCTTGTACTCAAAATTTCGGTTATTTCTCTCAACTCACAAGCCATGACCGAACAACTTCAAAACAAAACAAAAAAACGATTTTTTTAAAAAATTTATACTATTTATAAAAGGTTATAATAGTCAAGTTAGTTTTAAAAAAATGTAGGTGTGGGGGATAAGTGTTTAGAATATGGTAATTTTTTTTTGTAAAAAGAAGTGTATTAGTAAAACAAAGGGTGGTAATAGACCCTTCTTATATTGAAGGGCTAAGCCCAGATAATTAAAATTGGCCTGTAATTTCATTTTGGCAACATGCGTGGATCTGAGAGAAGTAAGCGAAGCACGATGATGAACAACGAGTTCTAGTCAGATTCAGAATCATACTGCAAACAAGTTGATTCAGTTTCAGAGCGAGAGAGATAAAGAGCGAAAATGGTGAGGGAAGTTTCAGAGAGTTGCGTCGATAGCTTGATGACAGAAATGGTTGCGTGCTATTGCAATCGATTCTACGCCAACAAACCTGAGCTCGCTGCCCGTAGGATCGAAGCCATTGGTTATCAGGTCGGTCAACAGCTCTCTGAAAGGTTGTTCCAAACCCTAATTCTATCCTCTAACTATCGCTTTCATCATCCAGATCTGTTATGAAAACATCGTTGTAACACTAATCTTACTTAGTTTCGTAATTATAGTCAAACTTAACCTAAATAGGATTGTTCATTTTCTTGATATTGATGTGTTTTTGTATCTAATTGTACGTTATTATGGATCTCTGAAGTGAATTATCATGAAATTGTAATGAATTGATTAGAATTTGATGTGCGTGCTTTAGTTATACTATTGATGTGTTTTTGTATCTAATTGTGTGTTATTATGGATCTCTGAAGTGAATTATTATGAAATTGTAATGAATTGATTAGAATCTGGTGTGTGATTTAGATATACGATGGAGCGGCCTCGGTTTGGTGATCATTTGGAAGCAATCAAGTTTATTTGCAAGGATTTTTGGTCTGAGGTATTTAAGAAGCAGATTGACAACTTGAAAACTAACCATAGGGTGAGTTGAAAGATGAATACTGAGCGAGTTGAATTTATAGATGTTGGTATTTGTTTTTTTTGTTTGATTTGGATGGTTGTGTTATTTGGTTATGCTGCAGGGTACATTTGTGTTGCAAGATAATAAATTTCCCTGGCTTGCACGGATGTCGGTTGATCCATCTGCTGACAATGTTAGTTCAGTCGAGGATTATTCTGCACCTACGGCCGAAAGTAAGGCAGCACAGGCTATGAGCATGCATTTGTATTTCCCGTGCGGGATCATTAGAGGAGCTCTTTCCAATTTGGGAATTCCATGTGCAGTTTCTGCAGACATATCAAGCCTTCCAGCATGTACGTGTCTCCTCCTTCCCTCTTTTAGACACATACAGAAATAAGAAAGGTTTTTTAAAGTGTACATAAGAGTTCTGTTCCATTTTTCATGTTTTCCGGATGCACAATTTGCGTGTGAATAATTTGATCTGTTTGGAAAAGTTTAAATAGGTTCTAGACTAGATCATAGTCAATAGCCTACATTGAGAGAGTTGGGATCCACTCCATTTCTTTATTCCTCCATTTTCTCCATTACTATAGTTTTTATGTGTATAAAATTAACTAAATATTAATTATATGTCACATGTCTTAGAAATGTGTGTTATTTATACATAGAACTATAATAATGGAGAAAATGGAGGAACAAATAAATGGAGTGGATCCCAACCCACATTGAGAAGTTCAAGAGTGTGAGAGCATCATTATTTTTTAAAAGTTCCATTGTTAGATTTGGGATATAGTTTTCTTGATCAAATTTATGTTGGGTGAAGTTGTGTTTTTTAATTATGTATGCCCAAAATTGTATGCTTTTGCAAATAGATGTATCACCCAGCTCTTCACCATGAAAGGACAGACTAGTGCATAAAGGAATCCGCCCTTGTGGGGTATGGTACGGAATAGATGTATTCAGCCTCAACCCTAAATAGTGGAGACCTTAGGGCTCACAAGCAGTGTAGTCAAGATCGAGTGCTGGGTCTTAAGATCTTACGTGCTGAAGTTGCCCTTTAGTGCTACGATCTTAGAAAAAACTTTTTTCGTGCATTTTGTGCTCAAGATCGAGTGCTGGGTCTTAAGATCTTATACGATCTTACGTGCTGAAATTGCCTTTTATATGACTATCATGATATGGGAATCCATAATATCTTAGATGATTAGACTTGTTTGTTAGATTTATGTTTTTGAACTATTTTTTTTAACAAAGTCTTTTGAACTTGTTAAATTATGGAATGATAGTTATGAGTTATTAATTTAATTGGTTGAATTTAGTGATTTATAGGTTATTTTGTTATGTATTATAATTTTCATGTTTTTGTGTATGTATATGTATGTCAAATTACCATTGCATCTTGGGCTAGTAATATTATTCACATATGAATTCTGTATCTGGAATGCATGCTGTTGTTGTCGGTGTCATTACATTGTCGATAAGTGTGTTTTGCCTTCTTTATTTATGACAGACTGTTATCATTGCAGTTTCTCTTGTTTCATTGTTTGCATGTTTTTATCTGATCAATCTTCTTTTTACACATCATTGAACTGAACAGGTTCATTTGTGGTCCGTATAAAAGCTTGATAAATTTGTACTACTGCCGCGAGGGTAGCATTAACATTGTTCAGAACAATTGTTTGGTGTCTGCAACTGTGCTCTTTTGCACCAAATTCGCCGGAGTGGTGGAATGTTTCTTTATCATGTTTAAACTATCAAATACTTGGTTGTATAGAAAGAACTCTTGAGGGAAGTGTTTTGATAAAAATGAGGACATGATTCTTTTGTACCTAGATTCGATGGAGATTAGGATATCATTGTGTTTCATTCACGTCCTATGGTGCACGGTGGAAAGAGGATGGGGATTTCAGTCACTATAACGTTATCCCCCTTATATGGAATGAATGCTACCATTATATTTGAAAACTTTTATTTTCCATCCTCGATCACAAATTGGCTCGACCATGTTTCTTTATACTTAAAGGATGAGCTTAAATTTTTACATTAGAAATTGGAAAATTTTCATTAGGAAGAACTTTATCTGAAGTTTATTCTATTGTAACCTTTAAGATTATTTAAAAATAACACTTTAGCAAACCTTTTAAGTTTATTTAATAATAACATTTTAACAACTGATTAGATGCTAACAAACCGTGGTCTCGCGTTGAGTAAAAATAACATAATATTATATGATTTTACTGGATCAGAAAAGGATCAACAGCTCTTGTATTTATCAGTGATGGAGAAGAGGAGGGGTATATTTGCAAGGTACTCTGATGTTAAAGTAAGAGACTGATGTTAAAGTAAGAGACTGAGTAACGAGAGCAAGTACAGAAAAGGTGTGTAAATGATAGAATATCTGACCTTTTAGTAAAGGAGGGTATTTATAATGTGCCTCCAGCGCTTGACCAACGGTTACTTTGCACTGGGTTGGAATGCAAGGCTCAATATGAGTAACTACCAGAGCTTACTTGGCGTAAGGAAGACCAGCACGTGGTCTTTGCTTTGGGTCAACTGTCCCGTGGTTCTCTGAAGGTCGGTAGTTGTCTGCTAATGTATCCCCGCGTGGGGGGCACATGGAAACCGTGGGGGAGCCATGTGAGAGCTTCCTGTGTGCACTGATGGATTGGGCCTTTAGTGGGCCCTCCCCAACGGGGAGCTAGGTTGGGTCGCGTCCGACGGTGGGCCAGCTTCTGGCCTAGTCTAGAACATGAACCCCTAAGTCGTTACTTCGAAGTAGATGAGTAATGACTTAGAAGTCAGTTCGGGCGTTGAGGACCTGTCTGGAGGAGAAACGTACGTGTCCGAAACACTAGACTTAGAGGACAAATCGTGTGGCCAAGTAACTCGCTCGCCCAGACAGGAACTCGCGGGGACGGTTGTCCGTCAGACGCAATCCTGGATCTTTCTTTCCTTTTACCCTGGATACATCCTCGTTGGAAGTTTTGGTCGAATAAGTGACGAAGATGAAAAGAACCGGGCACGCCTGATCTTCGAGCACGAGGGGGAGTCGAGAGGACACGTGTGGTGTTTTTTAAGGCCATGTGTCACGAGTAATCAATGCCTAGGGTGGCTAGGCGTATGGGCACTTGAGTGCCTAGTGACGCCTCACTTCTCGTGCTAGGATTATAAATATGGGGAAAGTCTCCTTCATTTTCACCTCCCCTTCATTTCAGTTAGAATTTCTTTCAAGTCTCTCCAAGCTCTTTCCGCTCCCTAGCCTGTGTTCGCCGTCAACCTTTCTCCGTCGCTCAGATCTTCTTCCTTCAAGTAAGTTTCTATTTTCATTTTCAATTTTTTCTGGATTTTTCGATGGCTTCTCCAGGGAGCTCGTAGGGTTACAGAGAAAGCATGAGTTTTCCAGCAACTTCCATGAAATTTTCGGCCAGGCTCATGAAGTTTTCGGCCAAACTATGAGTTTTTCGACAAAGCTCATGAAGTTTCCGGCAAAGACGTCGGGAAGTTCACGGGGATTCTGGAAGCTTCATGAAGTTTCTGGTGAAGGTCTCGAGGAATTATGATGAAGGTCTCGGGGAGCCTTGCTCCCCGCAAGTGTGCGAACATTGCGATGAGGTTTCTGCCGAGGAGTCTCCCCGTGTTTACTAGGGTTTTTTCATGCGAGGAGTCCCTCTGTCGAGGAGGCTCGCCGTCTCACGTTGATGGGAGTTTCTTCGTGGATGAGTCTCTACCGAGGTCTAAGCGTTGAAATTGATATAATGTTTCATGTCTTAGAAATGTTAGAGTTTATGCATTTGGAAGCTCCCACTTTTGAACGCATAACTTTGGAATTTTTAAGTACTATTAATTTTCATTTAAAAAAAAAAGATGGACGGGGACGATGAGGTATTTCTATGGTTCGATGAAGTTCCGGTTGTTTAACACTGATCATGAACTCAATGTCGAGGAGTTAGAAGGCATCCTCTGACTTCCATTATATGACCCTAGAGCTGTTCGGGAAAGTTTTGATCCTAAGGCATTTTGGACAGCCATAACAGGTAAAACTGATTATATTGCAAAAGGTGCTAAAGCATCGGGGATCTAAAATTTGTGTTTCCGATATGCTCAGAAAGGTTTAGCATACACTTTATTTGGCAGAGGGGATATCACAAGGGTTATTACACAGAGAGAGCTATTTTTGCTTTATGCTATGGCTAATTCTGAAATGGTGAGTGTAGCTGCCTTTGCAGTAGAATACTTAGGAAGAGTAGGAAGGGTGACCCAATGAGGTATATCTGTTGGAGGGATGATCACTCAAATAGTTGAACACTTTGGGTATAACCTTGTCGTACTGAATGATACACTAATGGCGAATAAGAATAAATTGGATATGGCTGCCCTAGTCCAACAGGGTATGATTTCTATCACTCCTACTTATTATCTTGTTATGAGCTTAAACAGGTTGGCTGTTGCTCTCCCTGACCCTGACAGAGTAAGTATTGCTGAACAAAATAATTAGATTTATGATAGTGCCGTCCAAGATGAGGACGAGTACAATGTTGAACATGTTTTTGCAGGTGAGCGGGATGAGGAGTATGTTCTAGAGCAGGAGCAGTTTGTTCCTTCCCATGAGATGCCCACCTATGCAGGTGTTGGATCATCATCCACGATTGAGGACAACTGGTCGCGGGTGCGCAATGATTATGTTTGTCTTTACTTTTCTCTTGGTATTTATATTATTGTCTGTTCGTCTTTACTTTGCTCTTGGTATTTTATATTGTGTATGTTACAGATTTGTGGGTTGATGTTGTTTGAGTGATGGAGCATGTACTATTGTATGAGAAGATTCAACCCCTGTTGGCTCTTCAGGAAGCCCTAAAATGTTGACACTGCTGAGTAATATAATTGGACGCGACTCTATGACATCAAACTGTTTTTGGAGTACTGTGCATCCGAACCGAATAGGAAACTGCACCATACTAGAAGCACTTTGGAACCTGTTGAGCTAGACCAAGCATGGTAAGGAACAAAAAAGCCAAACACATTGGTCATCATGAGAGAGGTTCAAGTATGTCTTTGTCGCTCTGAGCTTGTGTGTTGACTGTTTAAATTTCACTACACACTTATACACATTGAGGCATTTTTTGTTAACCCAGAGTCGTTCTAGCCACCCTTGTATGTTATCCTTTGTTAACCTAACTTAAGCCATTTTCCCTTTGTTTGTCTATAACCACGTTATGTGAACCTTTAGCCTAAACAGTTACCCATTTTGCTCAAATAGGTGTTGTCAAGATAATATGTGGAAAAATTCTAAGTTTGGGGTGGAAATTTCAAAAAGAACTAGGTAAGTGCAAGGAAAAAAAAGAGAATCTAAACAAAAGAGAAAAAATATATAGAAAAGAGATTGTGAAAAATAAATAAATAAAGCACTTACCTAGCGCAAAAAGTTAGTTTGAAAAGTAAAGAATACATGCTCAAGAAGATCATTTGAGTAGAAACTAATGAATTCCAATGAAAAGGTGTCGAATACCCTTAATCAGTGCAAATAACACAGTGAAAATGACGACACCGACTATGAGCCATAACCACTTATTTTCCATTTTGTTTGTAAATCCCACCATGACCCTAAGCCTCATTACTACCGTAAAAGACCTCATAAGGTGTGTGTGTGTGTGTGTTGTGTGTGTGTGTGTGCGCGCACGTGTGTGTGTGAGAGAGAGATAAAGATAGATGGTATTCAAGTTTATGAGTTGATTTTGCATGCTTTGACTTGAGTGTAAACACTTAACCCGAATAGATTTTGGTGAGACTGTGGAAAAAGCTGACATTAAAGAAGTGCTTTGATGTGGAACTGTAGCAGAAAGTTCAGTCGGGGAAGCAGGAAACTTGACGGAAAAGTGAAAAGAGAGTCGCGAAAGACATAAGTAGTATTGTGGTAAGTCGACTTTGCAATTTTGAGGTGACCTGTCTGCTGTCTCGAGCATTGCTTGAGGACAAACAATGAGCTAAGTTTAGGATTGTGATCGGTCACCATTTCTATTGTGTTTCTGTCACTTGATTGACATTTCATCCATAAATCGGTAATGTTTGTTTAAGTCTTTTTATTGTTTTTGAGTAAATTATATTGTTTTTATGTTTTTCTCAAAATTTATGTTTTCTAGTGTTATGTCATGTTTTGTTACATTTTAGGCGTTTGTTTGTAGTTTTGATAATTTTAGGTCCATATGAAAAAGGCGAAAGGACTCGGGTGAAGAAATTGGAGATTCCAGGAAGTCGGTGGAGATTTTAGAAGCAAGCTAGTGGCCCGACATGGCCACCCGTGTCACCTAACACGACCACCCGTGTCACCTAACACGACCACCCGTAGAAAGCCTAGAAGATGAAGTTTATGTGTGGACAGGGGGCTGACACGGGTGCCCGTGTCAGCAAGTCTGGGCAAACGCGGTTTTGCTTGTGAAGAACCAGGGAGCCAACACGGCTGCTCGTGTCGCCTGACGCGGCCCGTGTTGGCATGGACGTGTCAGCTCATATTTTTCTAATTTTTATGGCATTTGTAGCCCTTGAGGGTATTTTGGGAAATTCCTTACTGTTGTGTTGGACCTGAGGGTATTTTTGACGCGTTCTGAGAAAGAAAATGGACTTTTTTTTTA